GACACACTAGGGCACGGGCGAACACTTCCTCTGGGTTCCGAGACTGGAATCCATCAGGGAAGCAGACAGCCTCATCTTTCTCCTGCTGAGTGGCTAGTGGGCCCGAACTGCTGATCTTGCGGTGAGCAGCTCAGTGCTTAGCCCGCTGCACCACACCAGGGCTGTAAGCTGTTAACTAGCTCATGATTTCAAGAGAGAGAAAAAACTGCAGCATTCACCAGGGATTGGCTAAGTTATCATCCTTAAGCTTTTTCCTTTCCCCTCCACAGGCTCTCTTTAAACTCTGGGGCTCTCTGGAGACGTACCCCAAAGACATCCTGACGTACACGGAGCTAGTGCTGGACTCCCAGGGGCAGCTGGTGGAGATGAACCGACTTCCAGGAGGTAACGAGGTAAGTGCACCCAGCTCCAGGTGTGACTCAGCCCCGGCCAGGTGCTCCCCGCAGGAGAAACACACCTGGTCCCCCTGTGCCTCTTCTTTGCTAGGTGGGCATGGTGGCCTTCAAAATGCGGTTCAAGACCAGAGAGTACCCGGAAGGGCGAGATGTGGTTGTCATCAGCAACGACATCACGTTCCGAATCGGATCTTTCGGCCCCGGGGAGGACCTGCTGTACCTGCGGGCGTCAGAGATGGCTCGGGCAGAGGGCATCCCCAAAGTCTACCTGGCAGCCAACAGTGGGGCCCGCATCGGTCTGGCAGAGGAGATCAAGCACATGTTCCAAGTGGCCTGGGTGGACCCTGAAGACCTCCACAAAGTAGGTCCCAAACCAGGGTTCCACTCAGTTGGGCTTGCATCCCCCCTGGGGGGAGCTCACCCCCGCAGGGGAGGACCCTCTCTGCTGCTGTCCTTCACTCAGTTTTGTTGAGCTGAGTCAGCCCCTAACTCGGGGTGACCCCCACCCGCACATGGCAGAATGAAACTGCTCCCCCGGCACTGACAAAACGTACAACTTTCCTCTAGTTCTTTAATGCTTCCTCCCACCCCACCCTCCACTATCATGACCCAATTCTACTGTACAAATCTGGCTAGACCAGAGCATGTACACGGGTACAGATCAGAGCTGGAAACACAGGGAATCCAGGACAGATAAACCCCTCAGGACCAATAATGAGAGTATTGATACCAGGAGGGTAAGGGAAGGTCGAGTAGAAAGGGGCAACTGATCATAATGAT